GTAGGCAGACACACTCGGCACCCACGCTGAGCTCCCCAGCCTTCTCTACTTGGTCTCCCGCCGCATTTGGTTTTTGAAGCCACGCCCAAACACCGTTACGCGCAGAGCGGGCCCCTTGACTACGCACCTCATTCATTGGATGAGGGCGGCCCCATGGTAAAGCCGGGAACAAAAATACGTTTCAAATGATAATAATAAACAATTCTCGTGTCGTTGCGAGCACCACAGCAGCGAAGTGGGGCCATTTTGGATTGTCTGTTGCTCCTCCACCATCCGAAGAGTACACAGATGCCGGGAAGATAAGTCACACCACACAGACTTCGCTTTTGTGGGAGCACGCACCGTTTTTCCGTAGAAGCCGAAGCGTTTCGCGAAGATAAACGAACAAGAGAGTCACTGAATTGCCTCTCCGCACTATTTGGGAGAAGAGCGCCGTCACGCGCAGAGACGAAACAGCAGCACGAGGAATGAAAGCATTAATACATCGGAGGGAGTGTGGGTGAGTTAATACGGATGAAAAGAACTGCACTAGAAAATAAAGCTTTTGTCGCTGTTTTTTCGGTCACTCGCGTGTTAACGTCACGCATGTCGCTCAGAAAGATGACGGGCCACTCCAGCCATCTCCATTCGGTCGCACCTCATGCGGAACCACAAAGAGTAAGACCTCGATCCTTCATTTTCGGTTAAATAAGATGAGAAAGAAAAGGTGCAACTAAACTCGCTCGCTTCTCTGCAGTGCCCACGTGCTGGCGCTGTGTGTTGCTCTTGTATGGAGGGACCCAGGGAGCACACCATCCCCCCCCCTACCACCGCCAACTCGTCGCAAGCAACATTTCTCCGGCGCAGAGGCACGCACCGCGGCTCCATCGCAAACCTAGGGGACCACACACACACAAACACGCTGTTGCGCGAGCCAGCGAGCTGCACGCTTAGGTGCATACACGTGAAACAACGCGGCCGTCCCTTTTTGTCGACGCGGCGCCTTCGCGTCACCCTCCGCTGGGATACCGCGACAGCGGCGTGGGAAGGGCTCTCCGCTGCTGCGCAGGCAAAGACGTACCAAAGCCGCAAAAGCACACAAAGGCAGCCATTTCATCGCGAATGAAAACAAATAATAATTGAAAAAGGGGTCTGAAGAAAAGAACACCACGGAAACTATTCACATCGTCCTTCGTCGAAGGCCGGAGAGCGCGCACGCCAGCTAGACCAGGCTCCACAGCACAGATGTGCACAGCAGTGCCAGCATTGGCCATCCATTGGGGTTGCCCAAGCTCTGCCAGTGCGCCGCATCACAGTAAGAGGCGCATTGAGAGTCATCCGTCAGCATGTAACTG